GCCTCTCCATTGGGTGCTTGAGTGTCCACATGGCATGGCCATTGGCTTTCCCAAATGACACAAGAGGTCAAGGCAGAAGAAGCCGTTTTTGCCACCACTCCATCAGATACACTGTGGATCAAGGGTGTGGGTGCCAGGAGGTAGGGATCACTAAGGACCATCTTGGAGGCTGGTTACCAGGGCCCTTAGGGGAGTAGGAGGTAGGAGGTGGACTATAAGATTTATCCAGAGAGCGCCTTCTGTGCCTCTGCCTATTTTAGGACAACGTGCTAGCCTTTCCAGTGAGCTGAGCTCAAGCCCTGTGATTATGATATTTCCCCCACAGACCCCAGTCCCGGCTCCTTCTTCCAAAATCTCATTAGTCTGTGCCCCTCTGCCTCAAGCTCCCCCCACCCCCACCATCTGATTCTGCTCCTTTCCCCTGCCCTAACCCCCATTCCCATAACCTTGTCCCCTCACCTCCACAGCTAAAAGCTTACAAGGCTGACAAGCATTCTCTCTGTAAGCATTCTCTCTCTCCCTCTCTCTCTCTCTCTCTCTCTGACTGAGTGGGGGGAGTTCTGATCTGAGGCTCAAGAACCCACATCCCTGGGCCACACTGGGATGGAACAGAAGGGCACAGCTGTGCTTCCTGTCTACAGGGACAGCAGACACAAGGGACCCAACCAGAAGTTAAGAGTCTCCCTCCAGGTGGCCTCTACATGAAGGATGGATTTGGGAGGTGAGCTGGAGGAGGAGCCCAGGCTGTTCCTGGAGGCCCCAAACCAAAGCCAGCCCTCCCTTATGGGGCTCTGCAGGGAGCGGGGTGGGAGAACTACAAAAGTAGGGTGCCAGGCTAGATGGGGGAGCAGTTTCTCCCCACAGACCACAGCCTGCAAATGGGAAGTCCACACCCCAGGGGTCAGAGGCTCCAGTGTCAGCAGAGTTCAAGGCTTCCTCAGCTCCCAGAGCTCTCCCAGCTTAGGGGGATTGGCTGGAGGGGACTGAGCGCACCTGAGTCCACTCCTCAGCTCGTGCACAGGGCAGCACACTGGATGAGAGGGGGAGGGGCCAATCCCAGGCCAGCACCAAGGTCCAGCCAAGCAAGGGGGACATACAGGGAAAGCAAAGTGAGCAGCTGGGAATGGCAAACCACCGCCTTGGGAGGTGGGCTCCCCGGAAGCCCAGCCTCAGGTGGGGAAGGGATTCCCAGGAAGAACTCAGGGTGCCTAGAAAGCAGGGACAGTCTTAGCCTCACAAAGTGGAGGAGTGCCAGTCAGGTAAAAATGCTTTTGCCTACAGTAAAGGGGAGGATGATTTCTAAGCACATTTGGATGCGCTGGTGGGCTGGGGAGGCAGCTGAGGCCCCAAACTTCAGAAAAGCCAGCTTAACCTTGTCCTTTTTGGCTTCGGAGTCCACTCTACCATGGGAGCTGCTGTGTCCTGGCATTTTTTTCTTTTTTTTACTTTTTTTATTTTTTATTTGAGAGAGAGAGAGTGGGGAGAGGGGCAGAGAAAGAGGGAGAGAGAATCCTAAGCAGGCTCCATGCTCAGTGCGGAGCCCGATGCGGGACTCGATCTCACAACTCTGAGATCATGGCCTGAGCCAAAATCAAGAGTCAGATGCTCAACTGACTAAGCCACCCATGTGCCCCATGACACTTTATATCTATCTCTGAAATCAAACTTAGCCATCCCCCTTCCTTGAGAAAGGGAAGAGCTCAGGTGGGAGGGGGAGTTGACCAGGATCAATAAATTACATCAGAGGGTTTACAGAATGGGAAATCCATACGTGAACAAGCCATGAACCACCCCTTTTCTAGGCACAGGGACGCCTGAGACCACTTGCCTTTGGTCCCCTATCCTGCTCAAAGCAAGTGTTCCCGTGCCCTCCCTTGCAGAGTTCTCAGTTCTTCCCCCACGGCACAGATTATGTGAAAAGGTCAGGTATGAATAATAGGGACTGGGGGAGCCTGTGGCAAACTGGACAGTGCCTGGAGGCGTTCACCTTCAAGAGTTGTTCTTTAAATATCATACTGGCCAAATCATAGTTGCCAGATCAGGCCACCAGTTTAAAACTCAAACAGCCTAGATGAGATGAAATCAGACCCCAAGTTATAACCCTGCATCTGCTCTTTATGCATATATGCGCATGCACACACACCCACATACACACACACATACACATACACACACATATACACATACACACACATACACACGCACATACACATACACACACACACACATACACACAAACTCCTGAAGTAAAGTGCTCTGGACACTTTGAAGAGTCAAATTGTTGGGGTGCCTGTGTGGCTCAGTTGGTTGAACGTCCGACTTGGTTTCGGCTCAGGTCATGATCTCACAGTTTGTGAGATCAAGCCCTGAGGCATGGAGCCTGTTTGGCATTCTTTCTCTCTCCCCCTCTATCTCTGCCCCTCCCCCCACTCCACGTGTGCACTCTCTCTCTCTCAAAATAAATAAACTTAAAAAAGAGTCATATTGTTACTCATTGCCCATGTTGTGGGCCCGATAAGTGGTACTCCATAAGCTATGAAGTCGGTCTGAGGTCTCTTTTCCTTAGTGTTCCCTCGGCCCCAACCGCCCCATGAAGGTCCTCTGACACGCCCCGCCCACCGCAGATCACAGAGGCTCTGTCTTGGGTGCCAGGGTGGAAAAGGCAGTGAGAGAGGGGAATGGTTGCAGACATGCTGTCTCCAGTGGGGCCCCCGAGCCAGAGCGGAAACCTTCCCAGACAGGCTGGGAGCTTAAAGCCAGGGAACCCGGAGGACCAGAAACTCCTGGTGAGTTTATGTGGAGAGAGGAAAAATGGGTGAGGGCCATGGGTGTCTGCAAACAGTCTGCAGAGATAGAAGCTGAGGCTCAGGGCCCCACAAGCTGGGGAAAGCGAGTGCCCCGCCAGAGTCCAGAACAGGGCAACCGCCTACAATAGAAAATGCCATATTCCAGGCTGAAAGGGCCCAGGCTAAAAAACACAGCACACTATGGGGAGGTGGCAGGGGGCTGAGAGGCCTGGCCGACCTCAGCGCCCCCCATGCCCTTGCAGCTAGGCAGTTCCAAGGCAAGCCAACTGTAATGGGGAGCCCTGCTTGGGCCATGGGAGGAGGGTATAGGAAGTATTTAGTTTCCAGAGGGCGAGAGCTTATACAGGGAAGAAACAGCCAGCCAGCCTGCAAGGGCAGAGGAGGCAGGGCCAGGGGAGGCTGCACTGCTCTCATCCACCACCAGGTGGCAGCAAAAAGCACTGAACCTGCCTCACATGTCCCCAGGGTCATACAGGAGCGCAATCTGGCTGAAGCAGTTTCTCTCTATCCCTTTCTCCTGGACCTCCTTCTTCACCCACTAACTAGTCCAACAAAAGTAAGCACAGATGTGCAGAGCAGTCAAAGGGAGGCAGAACCCAGGGGTCTGGACATCTGCCTGTGCCCAGCGTGCCAACGTACTTGTTCTCACAAGCGGAGAAGCCCTAACAGCTCTGGATGAAGGACGCCAGGCACTCTGAAGATGGAAGTCACCCTGGCTGGACCATGGCTTTTTACTTTGGCCACTGGGCAGTGGCTCTGGGTGACATCTATCTGTGCATCATTGCAGATGGCTATCTATACAGGTGGCTGCCCTTCTTCTAGCTCCCAGGTCCTGCCCCAGGAAACTCTCTTGGCGTGGCCTACCCCACCTCTTCTCCTTCTCCTCCCTTGCCTTTGGCAGGAACTGGCATAATTTTATAGGGACATGGGGAAAGGAGCGTCCCAAACACAACACCTCTCTCTCTGTGGGAGACCAGAGGTCTTTCAGACTCCAAGGAAGCGGGGGGAGGGGGGAAGGAGAGATGGAAAATGGCAAGAACAAAAGGATCCAGAGAGGAAATTTGGCCAGATGAGTATGGGATGGCAGAGAAAATGCCAAGGTAAGGATGCCAATCTGGGGAGAGCTGCTCACCCCTCTATAGAGGGGACCACTCTCCTTCCCACCCCAAGACAACATAACTAAACAGAAATGGGGTGAGGCAGAGAAAACTAGCACACAGTAGCAGGCAATCCATACATGCTTGTTAAATATGTATAATGGGGAAGAACACCGGCCTGAGAACAAGGACACCAGGTTTTAGGCATATCTCTGGCCCTAAGGAGCCAGAACTTGAAAGAGTCACTTTCTCTTTGGTCCTTGGTTTCCTCATCCATGAAGTCAGGAGGTTGGACAAAAAAAGCACAGTGGCAACTGGAGCACCTGGAGCACTGTATTTGAAAGGACTGTGAGGTGGGAAAGACTCAATCAGCAATGTCTGTTGCAGGCATAGGAAAGTACAGACACCCTCACCATGCATTTGCACAGTCTAGGGATCATCTCTAAGTTCTTTCCATTCCAATGCTCCATGAGTTGAGGACAACATTGCAGGAAGCATGTGGAACTAGGGCTGCAGCTAGGGACACCTTAAGACAATGATGGCTTGTGAAGGCTTGCCTCTTGGCTGTTTCTCTAGTTCCTTCCCCATGGACTGACTCCAGAACACTAAGCCTAATGAAGCACCCCTCTAATGGAATGTCAGAATCCAATAGTGTGTTTGTTGTCACTTCCAACATGGTGTGTTCCATTGGGCTCTCCAAGCCAAAGCATGATACATATTCCCATCAGTGCTACCCTCCCAATGCACAAATATAGTAAGCTGTAACATCCCCAGATACAGGAACATCCCTACAGTGGGAGTTCCACACAGTGTAATATGTTAGAATCAGATGGTGGACTCAAAAAAGACCACCCTCCTTTATAAATAAGAAGGTGTGTTCCAACAGTATGGCGTGGTGCAGTGGGACCGCCTCTAGCCCACCAGAAGGAGCTGCCCTCACTGAGGAGAGAGCAGCGTGGCCTCTAGCCGGGGGCACCCATGAACATCACAGAGGTGCTCAGCAGGACTGTGGTAAGGGACAGAGGCAAAGGCTGTTTGCTGTAGTGGCCCTGACAGAGGTTCCTGGCTCAATGGCCACTTGGCTGCTGGCCACGTCCTACAAGTGGGTCTCCTTCTCCCCAATGATTAGTCCTTCCTTTGTTGGGGAAGGCCCACAGTCCTGGCTGGTACCACGGTCCAGACACAGGTGTTGCTTGGGCTGCGGGAGGCTGGGGTCGGGGGTGGTGAGCTGTTGCAGGCGCTGTGGAGAGAAGAAGGAACGAGTGGGTGCTACCGGTGAGAAAGACAAAGCTGTTTCATCCTGGTTGTATCCCCAGGGCCTGGTACAGAGCCAGGCACACTGGGGGCAGCCAGCACGATATGAGTAAATACATGAATAAATATTTTGAGAAGAGAGAAGAGACGATCAATCCCGTGGCGATTAAGAGCATGAATGGGCTGGGTTCTAGTCCCAGCTATGTTACTACCTATGCAACTTTTAGGCAACCCATTTAACCCCTCTGTGCCTTATCTGTAAAACGAAGATAATAATAGTACACAGCTCATAGTATAGTGCCTGGCACAGGGTCAGTTGATCAATAAGTGCCTATTATTTTTTATGAGGAGCAGTACTACTATTATTACTGTTATTGGTGCCATCTTCTTCCCCTCCTTCTTGCCTTGAATGCAGATGTGATGACTGGAATGATGACAACCTTCTTGTGACCATGAAGTGGTAAGCATGATGATAAAAAGACGTGCTCAGGATGGAGGTGCAGAAATAGAGGAAGAGTTTGGCCCTAACAACTTCTTTTCAGCAGCTGAATCAAACACCAGCAGCACCCATCTCTGGTCTCTTGATGTAAAAAGAAAATAAGCCTATTTGCTTATTGCAGGTCGGGTTTTCTGTTACTTGTAGGCCAGATAGATTTCTGCAAGTGTAATGTCTTTGTGGAGCATGCGCTATCCCCTTTTGGGAAGGCATGTCTTAAACTCTAAACAGGGAGCTTTTGCCCATGCCTCCCCAGGCAGAATTAAGAAAAGAAATCAGGAATGAACCATGATAGCTGGTTATTAATTTCCTGGGAGAAAGGAATTTGTGCCCTATAAATCTCTGTCTGGGCACCTTGAAGTTCTTATTGTGACTCAGTTTCCTCCATAAGCATTTGACAGTGTACCCATGGTCAACCTGCCCACATGATTGGCTGGAGGTCAGATTCTGAAGGTCTAGGACTCTAGGTCTTTTGAGTGTTTCTGGAAATGAAGCCATTGGACTGGTCTTCAAAGACCCTTCTCTTTGAGATTTCATCAGACCAAAGAGCTGTCCCACACTCAGAGCTGCGCCCTGCCCATCGTGCCCTGCCTGCAACCTCACTCTGCAACCCCCTTTAATATATCACTTCCCCTGGCCCCTACCTTCTTGAAGGAACCCTGGGTCTTCAGAAGGGTGATGATGATGAACAGAGGGACGCAGACCATGGAGGACAGAGCCAAGAACCAGCCGATGGAGTAGCCCCAAGGAGGGTACACATAGATGTTGTTGTATTTGAGAGGTGTGTACTTGCTCAAGGAGAAGAGGAAGGTGGCCTGGAAAGAGGGAGAGGTGGATGCAGATTAGACAGAGAGCCCTTGAAATCCTCTCTTTAGCTGCTTAAATATCCAGTGACAGAGGACAAGTAAAATACACTGAAGTGGGGGCGCCTGGGTGTCTCAGGTGGTTAAGCATCCAACTCTTGATTTTAGTTCAGGTCACGATCTCAGTCATAAGATCGAGCCCTGCATTGGGCTCAGCGTGGAGTGAGGAGCCTGCTTGGTTCCTCTCTCTTTCACTCTCTCTCTCTCTCTCAAATAAATCAACTTAAAAGAATACACAGATAGATAAATAAATACACTGAGGTGCTTCAATGAGGTAGAATAGTAAAAGCCATTACAAGCTGTGGGCCAAGGCATCACTCCATGGAGGGCTGAGACAGGAGGTGGGGGGGGGGGGGGGAGGAGGAGCCCTGAGCAGGCAGACAGAAAGAGACCATAACTGGGAAGTCTGGCGGCTGGATGGAGGCGCTATGAGAAAGGAAGGGAGCAGAAACTGGAGGGTAATGATGGTAAAGCAGAGAGATGAAATGGTCCCAGGAAGGAAGGGCAGGAGAACCAACCCAGAAGTGGAAATGGACCAGCCTCCCAAGGTAACTGGACAGGCAGGAAAAGAGCCCCAGAACCCGGGCATCCTGTTCCTTGTCCCCGAGTCTTCTGGATGTAGGAGGAGATATAGGGGTAGTTGGGTGGGTACATACCAGGCAAAGTCCAGGGGTCAGAAAGAGCCAGGAGATCTTCACCAAGGGCCATGGCCGGTAGCCAATCATGTCTTCAACGTTGTCATAGAACCGATCTGCCCCTGCCCAGGTGGGAGGGGAGTGTGAGAACAGGAGGAAGGGAAGAACTCACGGTATCTGGGAAGGACTCACCTGGCTTTGCACTCTTCCCCCTACCCTATGAGGGGAAACCGGATCCAGGCACGTGAATGAAATGGGTCCCTGGCACCCCAACCACAAGGCAGGGAGCGAGGAGGAAGAAGGGGCTGCCACCAAAAAGCCAGGTGCCCTTGAGAGAGTCACCTAACCTCCCAGTTAAATCCTTTGGCCCCTTGTCTAGGAATGAAGACCCTACTAACCACAGAGGTGGGTGTGAGCCTAAAATGGGCACAATGACTGTGCAAACGCTCACTTATATATGCCTCAGATATGACTTCAGTTTCAAGTCAAAACAGCAAAGTTCCCACTGTTCCAAGCATAGCATGCTGAACTCACATAAGGCCAGAAAGCCTCTGGGAATGGAACAACAGTCTAGATTTGACACTCTGGAGGAGCCACTCTGTGTTCTTAGAAAATCTTGCTAAGAGGCTCGCTTTGTGTTTGTGGAAACACTGACTGGATTTGTTTACTGTCCTTCTGTTTCCACGTTTGCTCCAGATCCAGATCCAGCCAGTCTCCCAAGAAGAAAAGGACCGCTGATTGGGAAAGACAGTTGGAGGGCCCCCTAGCCCTTCCTCAGAAAAAAAAAAAAAAAAAAAAAAAAAAAAAAAAGGAACTTTCCGCTGATCACTGATGGGTATGAAATGCCACCATTAGGGAGTCATTCCTTTGGCTTCTAAATTTTTCCCCCAGTTAAAAACCAGATGTTACTAGGAAGGAGTAACATACTAAGGTTTCTCAGCTACTTATACCTTTCTGTGATTGAGTTTATCAGATCTTCTTTGAGAACAAGTTCTGAGGAGCAGTAGGGGAAAATCAGAAAGACATCAGATGCTTGAGGTGAGAAGACAGGTGACCTGTCCCAGGAAAGGAAAGGACACCAAAAAAGAAGGCCTAGGGTAGCAAAATAAAAACCTTCCCGTGGCTTTCCTACCTATGCCCACTACACGGCACCCACCTACCCTCTCTGCCCTGAGCCTTGTTACACTAGCAATGTGTTCCCCCCCAACCTGGTGCAGTGGAGTCAGATGGTTTGGGTATGATGATGCCTCCCCCACTTACTCTCTGTGTGAGCTCAGGCAAGAGACCTACCTCTCTGAGCCTCACCTCCCCTGCACAGGCTGTTGTGTGGGTTGAGAGAGAATGTATGATACAATCATCACGTTGCTTGGCATTCAGCAGTGCACGGACTCCATGCATAAAGATTTCTCCTCTATTGTCATCAGGCACAACAATGGCATGGATGTCACAGCACTCAGCACCATTGGCCAGTTGCCCCAGCACTGAGGGGGGTCAGGGAGGTTGAGGGCAGTCAATGGAAGGCAGAACTCACTTTAGTTTAAGAAAGAAATGCATAACAGCCACAACAAAAAAAGCTACCTCAAAAACGTGGGAACGAGTTTTCTGTTCCTGGAAGTATTCAAGCAAGGTCTGGGTGGTAACCTAGAAAGGGAGTGTGGGAATGTGTGGAGGCTCAGACTACGTGGCCCTGAAGATCTCTTCTGACTAGGACTCCCACTGATGAAGTGCCTCCAGCAGTTTCCGCATCAAGAAAACGGCACACTGTTGTTTCTGATTCCTCTCACTAGTGCAGGAAATCAGTTTTGTCCTTACCGCAGCTCTGTCTGCCACAATGAGAAATGCCTGGGTTCCCAGAGGCGGACAAAGTTCCCAGAGAAAAGAACCAGGGCAGCAACACCAAGACCTATAGACACCAGAGGGCTGGCACACCCCGCCTCTCACAACCTTAGGGGTAGGCTCTCCCCACCTCCCCCCTCCACTTACCATACACCCAGCTGATGCAGATCACTTCAAACACTGCCAAGAAGAGCAGGCATATGCCACTGGAAGCGTAATAATCAAACAGCTGGAAGATATACATCCCGCCCTGCAGAGAGGCAGGGAGAGCTGGGCCTTGGCCAATGGGGGAGGGAACCCGCTCCTCAGGGACAGGGCGCACACCCATCTGGGCACACATCCTGCTCGGCCCATGGGAAATTGTTCCTTGCATCTGAAGGCAGTTTGGCCAGGCAAGACAGGACCTTCATTTAACATCGGGACAACAACCTGACAGCTACGGGGACACTGGGAACTGCCTGCCCGGGATCGTATCTCCTAGAAGTTGGCCCCACCTCACTCTGAGAGTGCTCCGCTCCCCTCTCCAGGCCCAAAGGACAGCCAGGGCCAGACACTTACTGTGTTCTTGGAGAAGGTCCCTCTCTTTCCTGTGGGGTTGGGTGGGTGGCAGAAGGTAAGCCTGAAGCTGCACCCACCTTCTTTAATATGAGGAGGGGAATCTGGCTAAGAAGGGCATTCCTGACAATGTCATTGGACCAGCTGGATCCAACCATGCCTGAAACCAAATATCCCTAGACTTTGCAGTTTCCTGGCCCCCCCAAGGCTCCCTTTTCTGCTTAAGCTAGCTTGCATTTGGTGTCCGTCACCCGACACGGAAAGACAGCTAACTAACACAGGTAGGTTCTGCCTCGTGGTCCCCACAACCTTGCTGTGAGGAAGGTGGGCTCTGAGAAGGGTCACCAGTGCACCCCACGGCTCCCTCAGCCTGGAGCCCCGCCTGCAGGCCACCCCCCTCTGCTCACCTCCGTGACCAGGAAGAGCCCTAGCAGGTAGCACACGATGGCAATGGTGAGAATGAGAAGTTCTCGCCTCCCGCTCTTCCGGAGCTGACCGGGGAACATGTCCACAGAGGCTGTCACCAGGCACTCCACACAGACAAACTGCAGGCAGGAGGGAAGCCGGGGTGAGAGGCACCGCCTGCCCATGGGCCTTGCCTGGCGTGGCCTTGCCCTGGCCGCCTCGCACCCCACTCACCCGTGCTGATGCACAGGAGCGCAGGAAGGGGCACAGGGGCAGAAACAGGGTGGCCAGCCCTGCCCTCAGCCGTATCTCTACAACCGAGGGTCCCAGCAGTGAGGGTTGGAGGGGGAGATATGTTCCATCCCCAGGATGGGGGGCGGGGCTGTGGGGGGAGAAAGCAGGTGGCCCCCCTCACAGAAGAAGGTCTTGAGGCCAAGGGTCACCCAACCAACTGCAAGGACAAACCCTGGAAAGTGGAGTGGGGCTTGGAATGTAGGTCAGGGGAAAAGGAGTTGGGGGGGGGGGGGGGGAGGGAAAGCCCAGAACCTCAGAAGCTGGCAAGAGGGTCACCAGGGCAGGGAGGGTCGGGGTGGGGTGACGAACCTGGCTGTCCAGCCCTAGGAAGATGAGCATGATGAAGAAAAGGCAGGACCACAGCTGGGATAAGGGCATCATAGTCACCGCCTTGGGGAACGCGATGAAGGCTAGACCAGGACCTGCAGGCACACAGCACAGTCAGGAGAGCTCCTGGCTCTCACTGCCCTGGCGAAGAGCCTTCTCCCAAGACACTGTGTGTGTGGAGGGGCAGGGGGAAGGGGGAAAGCGTTTAGAGGAGTGGTTCAAGAGATCAGGGTAGTTTCACCCCTTACTCTGCTCTCTGGTTCTGGGGAGTTGGCTGTGCATTGGTTCATCCATTTATCCATCCCTGCACACAACCGTGGGGCTACCCGCCCTCAGTGCCCTCCCCCACCTCCTTCCCTCCCATGAGAAGGCCCAAGCTCTGCCCCCAGAGGCTGAAAAGTTCTCATAAGCCAGCTGCTGGGACTCCGGCCTGGGACCCTGTAGGAGGGATCTGTGTTCCCTGACCCCCCTTCCCCTCAGGGCCCAGACAGCAAAGTGGTACCTACCAGACTCGGCCACTTCAGAGATGGGCATCCCCTGCTCCTGGGCCATGAAGCCCAGGATGGAGAAGACCACGAACCCGGCCGCGAAGCTGGTGGCGCTGTTGAGGAAGCAGAGGGCGATGCAGTCCCTGCGGGGCGGGGCCAATGCAGAGGAACCAGGAAGGAAAATGAGGAAGAAATCCATCAAGGGAGGGGAGATCCAAAGACAGCAAGCGGGGAGAGGAGAGGGAACAGGAAGGCAAAATATGCGAGAGGAGAGAAATGGAAGAGAGAATGGGCGAAAGACCACGGTCACGTAGTGGAAGGTGAGAGAAGAACGTGAGGAAGAAAGAAGAGGAGGGAAGGAAGACACTGAGTCTGCAAGATGAAGCTGATTCCCCGACCTCACTGCAGGCAGGTCTGGTGCCCCGGGGTCCCGCAGCGTCCCCGCCGCCCAGCCCTACCTGTAGCAGTTGTTGTGGTACTTGTTGTAGCTGCCCAGGGCTGTCAGGCACCCCTGGCAGATGGCGAAGGAGAAGAAGATCTGGGTGCCCGCATCCATCCACACCTACGTGAGACCCCAAGAAAGTGGCAGAGGGAGTGGGAGGGTGCCCG